ATTGAAATTTATTTCATGGATCAAATGATTTTTCATTTGATTTTTTAGATTTTGTTATCAAATTAGGTTTTTTTTACTCAGTTTAGTCTGCATTTAAATATCGCTCAGCCAGTAGCGAATTATAAATCCAGTATTTGCTGAAAGAGATTTCATTTTCAATTTATTCATTTTTTTAATTTCATGGGATTTTTGATCTGCTCTAAATTGCTGATTCACCTTTTTGATCTCACAAAATTCCATTTCCAAGTTTGTGAAAGGTTTTCAGATTCCAATCTCGTAGTGCAGATCCAATAGATAACAATCCCATAACGGACGGTGAAGGAATGATCAGTAATAATCGATTAGAATTACATCAGCCAGTAATTTTATCAAATTGTGATAGTGTCGGAAACAGGAATTATATTCCTCAAGAAAACTGTTCAGAAAACCTTAATCAAATGGCGCAATTCCGATTTGCTGATTCTTATCGGCGAACGCCCCAAATTTCAGTAACAGGTTGTTTTTATTTTTATTTTTTCTACTTTTATGTATTCAGCCACTAGGTACTTTCTGCTTAATTATATTCATGCACTGTTTCAGTATCTTGGATGCAGTTGTTGCATAAAGCCTCATTTAAGAAATTTTTGAGAGATGTTACTTTCTTATCAAGTCATTTATATGCAGTAACTTTTATTACTGATTCTTCACCAATATGATGAAGAATGGATCATAAATCAGCTGTGCATTATTTCACTGATTTCGAAGGTAGAAAATAAATTAGCATATTTGATACTGAGTGCACGCTTAAGTCTACTATATTCTTTTTTTTATTCTTGCGCTAAAATTTGTACTTTCCCCAAATATGCATTAGTTACAGTTAGAGTGCTTTAGAGAGTGTTGGAGCCTTCAATTTTTTTTGATGTAGTGTAACTATTTCTTAGATGTCTAGTCTTTATTTCAGAATTGTCATGTATTTTTATGTCAGATACTTTTATAAACAGATTAGATGTTTTCATAATCGTTATTGAACACTTTTGCATTTTTCATCATTCTCCTGTATCATTAAATTGTAACTGTAGCATAATTTCCGTCGTTAACAGACTAGATGTTTTCATAATCGTTAAAGAAGATGTAGTAGTTTCTTCTTTCCCTTATAATGATGACTTTTATCTATCAAAGTGGGTGATGCAAAATATTCATGAATTATATTTATCAATTGCAGGACGTAGTGAACTGAATCCAATGGGGAGTAACAGTGCCGTTGGAAATGTGCAGGTATCTACCCATAAAAATGCCAGTTCGAATGGCGTCGATCCCATTTGTCCATATTGTGATCGCTTTATTAGTCATTACAAAGTAAGAAATTTAAAAAATTGGATTAAGCCTTATGAATATCCGTATTAACTTATATTTCTGTTCTGGTTTTTTCAAAATGTAATTTGTGATTTCAATTATAAATGAAACCAATGAAGATGCATGGTCAGTTAGCTGTTTTTGCTCAGTTAGTTACTAATATTCTTCGTCATGCTGCTGCTACTTCACGTAATGTCTGCTTCAAATTGTGTTTCAGCCAATATCATTTTGGTCTAGTAGATATTTTCACATGTTTATTTGAAAGTTTTTTAGAAATACAATTTGTGATTTTAGTGCTCAGGTTAATGAAACTCTTTCATTGTACTGGTGTCCAGAAAAAAATTAAGATGGATGAGTTCTATAGTCTGATTGGTGTTATTTTGTTTGTAAACTAGGGAACATTAAGGAATGGAGAAGGGTGGAAAATGGAGTATATTAAATTTTATGGTTTAAACAGGGTTGTGTACATAAAAATTTAGTGACGGTCATAAATTTTTAATTGTATTGAAGCTATGTTTTACTTAATGTAGTACCTAAAAACAATTTATTCAGGGCAATATTAGGCGCCACATGAATCAGTGTGTGAAATCTGCGCGCAACGGAGGCAAATTGAGGAAAAAAGGTAATTATGTATTGTTGAAGCAATTATTAACAACTGCATTTGTTAGGAATGAAACTTAACTAGAAAGATTCTAAGATTGGAATTTTAGTTCATAAATTCTGCTTTGGACACTTTTGCAGAATTACAGCCGAAACTATTGATTTCATGGAATAAAATCTTGTTCTAGATGCTGCTCTGAAGCAATTCACTTCTGGCATTTCTCAGTTTGGCGAAGGATGTAGCGAGGCGGCATATTCAGATAGTTATCAACCTCATGCTCTGGAAACATCTTTAGCTGAGAAAAATGCATGGATGGATAGAAGCGTTACTATAACTGAACAAAGTCAAACAACTAAATCGAAGTCATATAGTATCAAAAAAGATCGTAATACTGATGATTCATTCCGGTGTCCGTTGTGTGATTTTTCTACAATATACAAGGTTCGTTTCAGGGTGGAGTTATCTAAAACGGATGCTTAGATATGTTTTTATAGTAAATAGTTTGCTGACATCAAGTCCTAAAGTGCAAATTTCATGAATTCGAGAGGTATTTTGTTCAGCTTATAGATCGCAAATTAAAAGTTATTATTTCTTTCATTGAGGTATTCATTTACTTTTATTAGAAGTTTGCTCTTTGTTTTTTCCAAGGATATAATTTTTTGAGGAATATCTGATATAAAAACCTTTTAATAGGGCAATATGAAGCGACATTTGAGTACTTGTCATGGCTTACAAGATGATGATCTCAAAGATGGTTGCATTGATAAATTAAAGTGTAAAGAAGCAATGAATTTACGTGCAGAAAATGCTACCCGGAGTAGACGTTCAAAAAATGTATGAGTTTTGTTTGTCATAAAATATTTTTTTGATTTTCTAGTAAAGGATTTCCTTATTGGTAGTTAATGTATTCAAAAACTTTTTTTCACTCAAGCTTTTTCATATTTAATTACTAGTATATCTTGAGTCCGCACCATTTTCAACTTTTAACTTTATTATATCTCACATTGCTGAAATAAGTTGAATTTCATCTCAGAAAGTAAAGTGAACCCAGCTGAAAATCTTTTTGTTCTGAAACTTAATATCTATAGCATGGAAAAAGATGAAACTTTTGTAACTAGAAAAGCTTTTTTCTTCATTCATCAGTTTTATAATGTATGTTACTGCGATCAGCAAAGAACGCATCGATTCTTTTCACATTCAGTATTACTCAAAGATATATAGAGAATGAAATTACTGTTGAGAATTAATACTTGTAGTTGAATCAGTTTTAATTCCAGTATCTCAAAAGCACACCAAAATCAGTTGACATAAATCCTAAAAATGGCAGTACTCCTGCTACATCACGAATGCCTGAAATGATTACAAATGCATCATCTTCATCTGCTCAGCTCATTCCTCCTACTAATATTTGGTAATTTTTTGAACAAATCTGATTAAATTTTCATGCATTTTCAAAATCAGTTTTTCATACTTTTCAGGGGATTTATTTTTAACATTTGCAGTTATTTTTCACATCATTATACTTCGGATATTTTATCTTCATAAATTTTTTTTTACAGCTAGCGGTATTTCAGTAAAGAGCCTTCCTTATCCACAGACTGTTCATTTAATGGCAGTTTGACATTGGAAGTTGGATCTTTAGATTCATCATCAAAAACAATTGAAGTTCCTGTTGATGGTAGCATACAGTTAGTAAAATCGAATACCATTGATGAAACTATTGAAGCCGTGATAGCAAATGGGAATGAAAATCTTTTGGATCATATAACTTCAAATGGTTATCTCATGAGTGAACCCAAATATTCCGTTTGATACTTGAATTTAATGAAAATCGATTTTAGTCATTATAGATTTACTTTTGACGAAAAACTTCAGAAAATAACTAATTTAAAACAGTTGACTTCAAGTGTTTGCTTTTGAACTCTATCATCATCATTGCTATTTTTTCATTCTTGATATTATCTCAATGTATACTGCCTTATCCATAAAATGGGTGCCTTTTTGAACGAGAAAAGTGGAAACATATTCTTTTGCTTTGAATTTTATATGAATTTGTAAAATTTACTAACGAAGAAGAAGGATATAAAGATGAGCATAATATTTTCTATGCTGTTAATTTTTTGGTTTAGGTGAATCACAATGCGCACCAGTGGTTAAGAACAGTCATATTCATTTCTATTTCATAGAATGCTTTTTTGACCTTTGCTACCTCCATAAGTTTGTTTCTTTGTGCGCCCCAATTTTAAGCCAGTTCTACAATATCGTGATGCTTTTGTTACAATTCACTTGCAGTACTGCCTTACAATGATTCATGCGTTGAAGTGAAGTTTCAAATATTTCTTTTATATGATTTGTTTCCTAATATCCGGAAGCTTATAATGTCAGTGAAATTTCAAAGAAGTCCGTGTTTATTTATTCAACACATCAAATCTTAATGTTAGCTGCATAATTTTTGATAAGTTATATATTTTGCATACTTTTTACTTAGAGTCTTTTCATGACATTTTATTCAGATTGCATAAAATTAGTGTAGTAATTGTAGGGTCTTTTTTCAGGTCTTTCATTTATTTTCCTCTTTTATGTTACGCTCCACGTTAGTTTACCTGTGTAATGTCAAGTTTTATGAATGGTGCCTTATGACGAATTATATTACTTAGCAACATCATTATACTTTCGTTTACAATTTTTAATAAAGTTTGTATCTGCAGTTGTTTACACATAGGTAGCAAATAATATGGAATTGTAGAATTCCCGGACCATATTTTATATGAACTCTTAGTTGATTTTAACTTCAGATTTCGTAATATGAAGTTATGTGATGTGAGTTCTCTTCTTTAGTTGGGATAGGAACGCATTAATGTTGTAGTATGTGTTTTGTAGAATGGCTGACAGTCGAAATGAAATGCTGCATGTGTCAATATGACATGCTCTTGTCTCAACCAATTTACTTCAGAGGAAAATAATTATTAAAGAAAGGCGAATTTGGGTAGAAGTTTTAATAAAATAGATTAGAATCTGGAGTATGGTCAGATTTGTATAGAATGAATGTTTTGCTGGAATTATCCACGTTTAAACTTTACACTTTGCGGTGATGGTTGATTTCTTGTCTAGATGTGCAGTGCAATGGTTAGAAACTAGAAGAGGTGGTGTATTTTTGATAGACAAAAGTAGTTTGAGAGTACATTAAGTATGGCTTGATAAAGAAGCCTCTTGTTAAAGTGTTAAGTACTGGGGTATTTTAGAACTTAGAATTATTATTATATACAGCGCTTTTGCATATTGGTATTGTATTCTTGTTATGATAAAGCAGTATTTTTATAAACTAATCTAAATGTTTTGCTTGGTCAATTGCAGTCTTACTTCCGTGATCTTGAGCATGTTATCAAAGTTCAAAGCTAATGGAAAATGAGCATTATTGTTTTGGATTTTTTTTGCATACCCTCAGTTCTGTTATCAAATTGTCTTAGTTTGGTTAATTGAAATAAGGTGTGCGTTACAAAATAGTTTGTAAGAATGATAAGTAAGAGTCGGTACATTACAAATTTTGCTGAATTTATGTGTCTTAGATCACTTGATTCCAGACTCAGATTGTCAAGGTAAGATATTTATTTACCTTACTTTTTGTTGCTAGAGATAACTCCACATTTTTCACATTAAATTGTTTTGTCTTTTTAAAGGTTTAACAGAATATTCGAGATTTGCTTTCAAAATATTTTTATTCAATAAACAGGTGAATTTCTCTAATTAGAATTTGATTTATCATTGTGAAAATAGATAATTCATAAGTAGTAAGTATACAAAAATTGTTTTGACTGAAAGGCAGTAGATTTCAAGAAGCTCGAAATTTGAAGGTAAGAAATTGAGTGACGTACATTTCGTAAAGTGATGCTGATCGCTAGTTAAATTTCGGTGGCACCTGAACATTTCAGGAAGTATTAGTATTTTACGGAAAATAACACGATGGGAAGCAAGAATTTGAAATCAGTAAGACAGTCGGTATTCAGTAAGTTTATGCTAAGAGAGCGCTGACCGAGAATTAGTGCTTGTGTGAGAACTGCACTTTTTCTATGAAGTGTGAAGGACTAGTAAATTTGATGCAGCTATTGAGAGTAGACTTGATTTGTTTGATGAATGTGGAAATCTATGTAATCGTTATATAACTTCTGAAGAATGTTACTTGGGTCTGAGATTAGTGCTTAGAAATGTCATTGAATGGTAGGTGACTGGTGGTGTGTGTCAGTGACTTTTATTTAAATAAATTTATTAGATTTGTATGGAAGCATATAAGTTAAAGTCAGTTTTAATGTTTTTATAAATCTGCTTGGTAGCTAAATTCTATATGTAGCTAAATTCTGCCAATTACAATGATTTAAACTTGTCGGATAATTCATTGTTTAATGTATCTTTTTTCTGCAAAGCATGCGATAATTCGTGATTTATTGTGACAAACTGATTTTAATTAGGTTTCCAAAAATTAGACAGTTGACAGTATATAATGGAATTATAGAGTGGATATTTTCGATTCGTTTACTTGCTGAGGTTCAGTCATGCTGTGGATGTTAAGTAGGAATTTTAGGAAATTATCTAGATGGTTTGGTGCTACACATATTGAGTGTCTAAGTTTCAGAAGCGTACCTGATCCATAAGAAATATTATGATGACTCTACTTGAAGTATAATTCTATACATTAAGTAAAGCTAAATATTACAGGAATTGCCAAAGTTACAGGAGTTATTGTCATATTTCTGCCAATAAGTGCATTTTCGAGTTGTCAAAAGTTTTTCAGTTATAAAGCAAAATAAACGTTGATTTCGTAAATTGGAACCACAAATAGAACGTAAAGTATGATTCCTGGATTCTGTCTCCTTTCCTGATCTACTGAGTATTTTTAAAATTAAAGAATATAAAAAGTAGTAGCATTCAAATGATATGATTTACGTGTTAGAAAAGTTGTAGAAACCAATAGTAGTTATGAAAACTTTTTTAATGTTTTTGGATAATATATTGATACTATATGCAAAAGATTTAAAATATCCTCAGCATAAAAGTTTGTAACTCTTAATATATGTGGAATACGTGTTTAAATCTTTTTAAATATATGTTTTTAGTAAACGAGTTTTGGTACACATTAGTTTAATTTTATTTAAAATTTTGAGATGTATAAAATGTAGCAGAATGTTTATCTATTATTACATTATACAAATATGTCGTTTGCATCCAAAAATTTCAGTGGTTCTATCTTACCCTGATTTCTTTATATCATATCATGCGAATAACTCAAGGTAATTGTTGGATTCCAAGTTAGAAATTACCTCTTTATTTTTTTAGAAGCATAAACAAAGATGGCGCCTGAAAAGCAAATTGTCAGTAAAAAAAGTAGGAAGCGAAAAAAAACTAAGAAGAAGAAACCTCAATGTTTAAGAGAATTAAGTAGTGAAGATGAGCTCGTTAAGAAGAAACTAGCTGAGAAATTTAAGAAGACTCAGCGGTCGACCGATGATTACATTCCTTGTTTGAAATTAATTGGAAGTAAGAGTTTTTGAAATTATGTTTAGAATTTTATTTCATCTTTGTTGAATTATGCTATCGGAACTTAATGACATATTAAAAGTGATGAGAGCTGTCTTCAAAATGAAGTATTTTATTTATTTGATATATCTCACTTTTGATTTAAATTTTTTGCTGTTCATCTGAATTCATGAAGTACTCAAGAAGTATTCAAAATTTCTGAAAAGCATAGGAAATAGTGTTTTAATAATAGTGTGTATTTTTAATCATATATTTTTCAATGATCATATATTTATTTAGAAGAGCGAATGGTTATAAAAAATGGCGACAAGCATGATGATTTGTTGGAAAAAAACCAGAAAGTATCATTAAACCGTTTGATTCAAGTAAGTTTTGTATGGTCCATTTATTTGAATGTTTTATCTGTGTTAGTTAAGAAATAGAGCAATTCGATTACTTCATTTATTAGACTCTGTTCTGCTATATTTATACTGTTATAATGTTTTTGAAGAGTAGTGGTAGAGATTGTCGATTTTATTATTTGTTTAGTTGACTCAATTTATTTATCCTTTCTAAATTTGTTATCAATTTTGTTAGGTTGAGTTCAAGGACACACATGTGAGTACTCGTTGGAAGTGTGCACTCTGTCAACAGCGTACCTTGCGCTCAGTTTTAGGAGACTTATTTGGTCCGTATTTCGTACATCTGACAGATACTAATTGGCCTACTCATTTGGCTAAAAAACCATCAAAAATGCATGAAAAAGTGAGTGTTTAACTGATTAAACCTAGTAATTTTATTGGAATATTTCATCTCATGGAAAATGCTGTAATGGAGTTTATTTTGTTTATTTTTTATTAATTTCTCTCTCTAATCTTCTGTTCATTTCTTAGCATTGGCGTGATTGGTTCACTAAAAAGTATTCGTTATTGTTTTTCGAGATTTTGTCAACTTTTAGATTAATTTGAAAATAGCAGTAGAAAATATGCTCAGTAGAACTATAATTCGTAAGTAAGAATTTTCTGCGAGATCTTTATTATCAGCTTCATGCAAATCAGTATAAGGCTGATTTATTTGTTTATCAAATATTTGTTTCGTTTTTACATCCACAATCACGATCTTTAAGACCCAAATATTCTGCGATTTATGGTTACATGGTCCATGCGCCCTTACCGCACCTGACATATATTTAGTTGGCAACCAGCTTGAAGGTCTAGAAACTAATATACATAAATTTTGGACTCAGGTATAATTTATAAAAATATTTGTATTTGAATGTTAGACAAATTGTTGACGGGCAACTAATAATCTTAAACTTGAATGTTTGAGGGATAACACTTTTAGTTGACGAAAGTCAAAGCACTTTTGTAGTTATAAACTTGTAGTCAAAACTCTTTAATATTTAAGTCTTTTCTTTACGAGCACCATAAAACAATAAAATTTTTGCAGCACTGTACGGTATGTTCCAAAGAAGGTGCTGCAATGGAAGATCATGGCAAGTATTACCATTACCCATGCGCTCTGCAAAAAGGTTTTTATTGTTTAATGTGTATTTTTAATGTATATTATATGTCTTACAGCATCAAGTTGGATAAATTTTAGAAGAAAATATGTGAATGTTGCTATACTTGATCAGTCCTTATTATTTTAATATTCATTTAGCTATATTTTTTTTCATTCCAAAATTTTTGGAACTTAATTTCAGGTATCAAAGCATTCTAATTCAGTTTTCAGTGGTTTGGAAAATTACTGAGATCTTCAGTGATTTGATTGCATTTTGTACATTTTAAAATCTGAAGTGGCAAATTCTTTTTCACAAATGTTATTTTGATTCTTACATTACTCTGTTATCATCATGCATTTGTTTTCTAATGAATTGTAAGAAGATATGTTCCAGTGAAAATTTTAAAGTAGTGTAGAGAATGATGTTATTTGAGGATTTACGTGCGAATAGTTTGTAAACATCGTGTTATTGTCTTGGTCAATTCCGTTTTTTATAATCTTTCATTTCATTTGCTTTATTCTCGTGCTCATTTTGATCGAAAAATATTAGTCGAAAAATGATCTGGTATGATTTGAAATTGTTTGCTTTCTATGTTTTTTTATGAAGGTGAATATATGTTGATAATCACTAATGTACTTATTAGTAATTTATCTTTGTTCAAATTTCTAAATTTTCCTGTGCATAAAATAAATTATTAAAATTTTTTCAACAGACACAATATATAAGTCGAAAATTTTGTTTATCTTGGTCAATTTTTGCATTTACACGGAACAGTGGTGTGCGTTGGGGTGATAGTTAAATATAATTTCGAATATTTTAAAAGTTGATATTAAAGTAAGTTTTTCGTGTTGAATGTGGCACTTGGACTGATTTCAGCACTTAAAGTTCTGATATAATGTAGTATTCTCAAAGTCGAGTACGAAGGCACGTTGGTGGAAATTACTTTGTTAGGAGTAAGTATCTTAATAATGGGTTGGTTGTAAGGAATTTCTCTTATTTGAGGAGGTGTAAGATGAGAGGTCATAATCGGGATCAAGGATTTCCATGAAGGAATTTAGGTAAAGGTTGCCAGTAATGGATAGAAAAATGTACGAGTTTCAAGAAATTCCTGTTGCTATTATATGGAATTGGGCATCTGTTCAAATACCTCTCATTAAGATCAATTCATTCATCAGTAAAGTTAGCATTATTAAGGTTTAATATTTTATTGATAATTTGAAAATATATGGACTTAGTTAGCGCTTTTGTAATCCTTAAGTTGTGGTACCTGATCTTTTTTAATAACAAATTATCAAAGCTTTTATTTCTATTTTGATGCTTTAGGAAAATATCGTTTTGAGCAAACTTTTAAATTAGTGCTTGTTAGATTCAGATTACATGAGAGCAGTTTCTTATTTGTGCATCTGATTTCATTCTCAAACATCAGAGCACTGAAATGATATGATAACTGATTTTATCACATACCAAAATAAATTCTCATGCATTTTTTCAAGTTTGTAATTTAAGTTCATATCACAACAAGCTAAATTATTTAATTCTTTCTACTCGTTCTAATTTATTCCACAATGAAATTGTTAGCTTACTGAACTTTTTACTTAAATCAGTTCTTTTAAATAAAAAATTGACTTGAATAAATTTTAAAAAATGATCACATTTTCAAATTTCTAATAATAATACAATAAAATTTGATACGTATAATTTACAAAATTGTAGATTCGATCCACAGTAATGGAAAATTTAGATAATCATCCACGAGAATGTGCATTTGTTGTATATTGCGATGCCCGCTTTACATCACTTTCTGTTACACGAGAATTAGAAAAAATAACGGTCAATATAAAATATAAATGTATTAAATAAATTCAGACAAAAAAGGATTTTCAAATACACAAAATAAAAGTTCAAATTCAAAAC